CATCAGGAGGTGCTGAGGTGGGGCAGGCTGAGAGCATGACACAGTACTGTGTGCTGCCAGGAGGAAGCAGGTGTCCGCCCTTTACCCTCCAAGTTTCATTAGTCAGTCATCTAGGCAGCCTGGGCACACTTGTTATTTTTGGAGACAGATTGGCCCACAGCCTGGAGCAGCAGCTCAGGGACACACCATACACCAGAGCTCCTCAGACCCGGATGATTTTGGTAGGACTTCTCTGAGGAGGGCAGTTAAGTCTTGTGTTGGGGTTCAGTGGGCTGGCACAGTGGCGTGAAATTTAAAGCATTTTAAGGATAAGGAGAATGAACCTTTATGGAACTGTGGTCTCACTGGACTCTGCAGAACTGGGCAAGAGTTTGAATCCCAGTAGAAAGAGCAAGAGGCTCTTCAGCTGCCTTCACCAGGACTGGAGCCCCAAAGCCTTGTTCTCTGACCTCTATACACCTCAGAGTTTCTTTTCTCCGTCTCACTCCCCTCCCCACCCTACCTCCTCCTGCCTGCCTGGTTCCCTTCTATTTCCTCTCCAGAGAAGCCTGCTGTGTAGCTTAGTCCAAACCATCTCAACAGAGGCCTGGCTTTGGGCAGATGAGCTCCAAGAACTCAGGGTGGCAGAGCTTGCAGATGTGCTCTGCCTTTCATCCCCAAACATGGGACCCTACTCAAGATCCCTGTATACCATGTCACCTGCATGCCTTACTCATTGCTGGGGTGTAGTCTAAGGTGTCCTCAGGCAGATCCTCCACATGCTTTAACTCAGTATCTGCTGGCCCTTGTTGGTTATCCACTCCACTTCCCCTGGGGACTGGAGGGGATGGCTGAGAGGCTGTGGCTAGGGATGCTGGGCCAGAACCTTAGGTTCTTTCCTTTATTTGAAAGCCAAAGACCCAGCTGCAATGCTGCTGCATCGCTGACTCTCAGCTTCTCTCGCTCAGGTTCTGGGGGAACTTTGTTTCCTGTGTGTGTCTATTTTTAAGTTTTGTTTTCTGGGTACTGGACATATGCCTGTCTGAGCCCCAGGCCCATCTGTCCACAGCCCACTTTTCACCGTCTCTCTCTGGGCACCTCCTGAGATGGTTTCACGACCGTGCCCTGTTGGTTCTCAGGACAAGGGCCCATGACTGTTCCCTCTGCCAGGATATGCAGGTTCAACTGCTAAAGAAGGTGGAGGGCCAGAGTTTGACGGTTTATCTTTTCCTTGTTTCTTATTTGTTTCTGTTTTAGAAATGAAGTGTGGGGGTTTAAATGGCATTTAAGCTGCACTCTGTAGCCGGCAGAACCAGGCAACGTTTATCCAAATAAAGGCTTATCATGCCCCTTCTGTTGTTGGTTTTTTCGTTAGGACTCTGAGGCATGGGGTTTGAGAGAGTTGGAGGATGTGGTGGGCAGAGAGAGAGTCTGAGGAGCTTTGATCCTGGGGTAGAGCTTTAGGTGAGGGTGGGACCTTCAGATCTAAATGGAGAACAGAAAATTTTGCCATCTTTCTGTTAACTTCCCTGTGCTCTGGAGATTGGGAGGAACAGGGTTTGAGTGAAGTCTTCTGCTGCCCTTTGCAGGGTGCAGCTGCCTTCTCTGTCCCCCGGTGAGAAGAGAAGGGCTCTAATTTAGCTGCTTTTTCCCTTACTCCATCTGCTGCCTGTGTCTCTCTGTAGACTGTAGACATTTGCAGATGGGTCGGTGTGGAAAGCGGGATGTTCCTGGTGAAAGCAGTGGCAGCTGCACAAGGCATGATGTGTGTTGGGTAGCAGATGCTCTTGCCGGGTATCTATTTCTGATCATCTCTTGTAGTCTGGAGCCAGGGCTGAGCTGTGGGCCATCTGTTGTTGGAAATACTTCTCTTCCTTGCGGGCCCTAACTGCCAGTTCTTATGTCCTCCTCTGGTCTCCTTATATGGTACAGCAAGCCAAGGCCTCATGAGATGAGCCATGGTTTTCTGTCTTACCTCAAAAGATTGCCAGCCCATACTCAGTCTCTAGTCAATGTCTCCACCTGGAGCTGCTGGTACACCATGGGTCAGAATTCACTGATTTAGGAGAAAGCAAACCTAGCCAGGGATTAGGATTAGGGTGCCTTACCTTGGCCAGGATAGTTGATGACGATGAGGTAAATCACTTAATCCCTCCACCTTTGAATTTACATCTCTTGGTGAAAGGAAGTTGAAGGAGTATTTCTGAGGGGGTTTTAGGTCTGTGTTGCTTGTGCCACGGCAAGAAAGGGATGCTAAGAATGCCAGAAAATTCTGGTAGATTGAGGAGGATAGTTGTCCCCAGGAAGGTTGGATAACTGGCCACACAGGCTGGGAGTATTTGAAAACTCCAAGCTTTGAGTTTACAGTTCTAGTGCATTTTTTCCATTGCATGGAGGATCCCCTGGTGCCTCAGTCCCTCAACACACACCCAGAATTTGGTTAACAGTTTACGCTGAGCTTCCACTTAGTGTGTGTGTGTGCATGTTCAGGTGGGTGTGCCTTTGTGTGGGTGCCCTTCAGGGTCCATCACCCTGTTTTTTGAGACTGGCTTAGGACATACTAAGTAGTCTAGACTGGCTGGCCAGTGAGCTCCAGGGATCCTTTCTGCTTCCCCAGTGCTGGGATTACAAGACTGTGCCACCGTGCCCAGTTTTATGTTGGTTTGAAGGGTCCAACTCAGGTCCTCATGCTTGCACAACAAACACTTTACAGAGAGATTTCTCCTCCCACTAGGAGGCAGTAGGGGTATGGTCTTGATAGCTCTTCCACCCCAGGAAGCAGAGACCCAGTGACAAGCCCAGAGTCTTGAATTGTGGCTTAATTTCTTGCTGGCTTAAGCTACTCAGACATACCCTTCCCAGGAGAATAGAGGAGCCAGGCTTTCTTGCAGGTTGCCCATCGTAGGGCAGGAGCAGGGAAGAGCTCAGATACAGCTTTCTGGTGGAAGGGATCCGATCAACCAGCTTCATTTGCTTTTTCCAGTTCCTATGCTGGAATGTAGTGACTCACTGGAGAACCAGGTTTTGGTATACTAAGTAATTTGCAGTGCAGTTTCTCTTTTCCCAGGGCCTGGAAGCCCATCTCTAGTTTCTACTAGGAAAGAGCTGTCTGGGACCCAGGATCCCCAACACCCTTGCCTGTCCTTTAACTGTTGAAGACAAGGGACATCTAGAAAGCCTGGTGAGGTGCAAATTACACCGGGGCAGAAGAGTGTGAAATCCATGTGTTTTGCAGGGAAGTTGGCCCTTCTGTACTATCCTCCATCCCTATGACCTACAGAGCGGGACCAGCTAGCTCTGGAGAGAATGACGTCTTATATTTTATTACACTTGCATTCTTGGAAATTTTTGTTTGTTTTTGTTTTTCGAGATAGGGTTTCTCTGTATAGCCTTGGAGCCTATCCTGGCACTCGCTCTGGAGACCAGGCTGGCCTCGAACTCACAGAGATCCGCCTGCCTCTGCCTCCCGAGTGCTGGTATTAAAGGCGTGCACCACCAACGCCCAGCTGGAAATTTTGTTTTCTATTAGCAAATTCTGTCTAGGGATTACAAAGAGTTGTCATGTATGGGCTGGCTCACTAGATGGTCTGACTCCACCTGTTGGACTTTAACAGCTGATTCTCCACCCCCTTGGCAAACTCTAAGTGTTGCCAGGCAACCTGCATCTGGGTCAATCTCAGTCCTTGATACAACAATTGCTTCCTATTGCCACTGCCCTCCACAGTAGCAGTCGAAATGCTAGGTCCTGGCAGATGGGGAGGATGACTCAGTCCATCAGTCTCTTTAGGGCTTTTGGGAAGTGTCAACTTAGTCATGAGTCTGAATGAGATACAGCTAGGCTGTGTGCCTGGGACAGCCCGGGCAGCAGAGAGCAAGGCAAATGCCTCCTCCAGGAAATGGGGTTCTGAGCAGCCCAGAGGTCAGTAGCAACAATATATATATCTGCATTCTATCAAAGTGGCTTAGCAGTGACCATGATGAGCCTGGCTCACTCCAGCCCAGTCTGTGAAAGTGACTTAGCAGTGACTACAATGAGCATGACTCACTGATGACCTACACTCACCCTAGGCCATCCCTATCCCTCAATTCAAGAGCAGTTCCAGGCCCTGTGGGCCCTGTGGGCCTGTACCACTGGGGTTTCTTAGCAAGTCTGCTGTATTTCATTGTAGCTAGATTTACACATGAAAACAGTGCATCCCCATGGAACACCATGCATTCACCATATCCACAAGTCCTCTACTGTATTTCATTGTAGCTAGATTTACATGTGAAAACAGTGCATCCCCACGGAACACCATGCATTCACCATATCCACAAATTCTGGATACCTTTATGTAATTGTGTTTGTTTTAAATTTGGGGTGACAACAAGACTGTCTCAATTTAAGTGGTCAGTGTAAATCAAGGGGGTCAAGCTACCCGTAGATATTAGCAGATCGCTTCTCCTTGCCAGCTGCCATGCTGACCCCAAGCCTGGTCATCACAGCACTCTTAAGCTTAAAGACAAATGCTGTGGGCTCTACCAGATAAGTGAAAAGTGTTTGCACTTGCCTTAGTGTGGGTGGGTAAGAGGTCCAGAGCCAAAGGACAATAGAGAGGACAGTGTTGGGTCCAGAGGTTTTCCCAAAGCCGTGGCTGGGCAACTGCTGAGAAGGAATCCCTGCCACTGTGGCTTCCTGAAATGAACTGGCTTTCTCCTTTATCCTGATGGACTGTGGAGGGCTTGGGCATGGCTATATCCTGGGAGTTGTGTGAGGAAGAGGTGCCCCCTGGCAGGATAGGAAACCTAATCCCAGATTAGGGCTAGCAAGAGCTGAATAGCTTTGACAGGCTGAGAGTCAGAACCCAGAAACACCGCCACCAGCCACCACCGTGGCTTGCCAGGGCTGGGAGGCTTCCTGCTCCCCACTCTTCCGTTCTCCTCCCATCTGCTTAGGATCTTGGCATCTTCCTGCAGCCAGTGGGGCCGACGGGTATGGGAATGGGCTTGGGCTCCAGATCCCAAAGTGAAGCAGACAAGGGTCCATGTGGTTTCTGCCAGCCCATACAACAGGAGCTGGGGAGACTTTATTCATTTCGGGGGGAATTGAGAAAGGAATGAGAGAGACAGTGTGCACTGAATGGCGGGGGTAATACTGATAGGAAGACAGGGATAACGACAGCTAGGACAACACATCAGTTGAACAAAGCACAGGGGGTGGACGGTCCATCATCACTGGCCCAAGGGTCGACTGTATCCAGACTTCTTTTTAGACTTAAATCGACAAGGAGGCTTGGGACCCCAAAGCACCAAGCTGAAGTGAATGGGTCCTAGAAAGGGACTTGCAGCTAGCACTGTGGCAGCCCCACCTGCCTGGAGACACTGGTGGGAAGCTGTGGCACCTGGCAGTGTTAGTCCTTAGCTCCCATCTACTCCCTCTAGAACATCCTGGCCTTTTACACCTCTAGTTTATGGGCCCCACCTGCACATCCTTGCACTCTTAACCACCACCACTCCCCAGCACACCAGGTTGGCGCAGTGATATGTTAAGCCAGAATCCATTCCAGGCAGGAAAGCCAGGTGTTCATGCACACAGACCTTGGGGCACTACACAGTTATCATTAGACCTATTTCCTGAGCCAGGAAGTCATCCCAGCTGGCAGGGGTTGGGGCATGATATGATAAGGAAGGACTAGACATCAGCCATGGTCAATTTTCTGAGTCTGCTCCTCAGTATCTGGTCCCTAGGCTTCATCATCGCGTCTGGGGCCAGGGGGCTGCTGCTCTGCCCACTTGGCCATGCCCACCATGGATGAGTGGCTGGCATGAGGGACCAGGGGAGCATGGAAATGTGAGGCTATGGAGGGAAAGGACTGGCAGGGAGCTGGGTGGAGAGGAAGGTTCTCTGAAGCCAACTTCCTAGTGTTCTGACCCGACTCCAAAGCACAGGGAACCTCTGTCCCCCCTCCCCCACCCCCCAGCCACCTCCACCAAGGGACTTCCCCTGACCTCACCTTGACCCCCCTCAGCCAGCAGCCCCCAAAGGCAGGCTTGAGTTAGGAAGTCTGGGGTCACACCTGCCAGATCCCTGTCCCCCACAGGAAGTGAGATGAAGTGATGCCATGGATGGTGACTAAGGCCCCAAAGTCCCGACCTCTGCCTCCCCAGAAACCACACAGCCAGGCCAGCCCCAGAAAGCACAGCCCATGTAGATGGCCCCGGAGGGGAGAGTGGCTTGCTACATATGAAAAAGAGTAAAAAATAAAAAGCACCACTGTGGCCTATGACAATCTCCACAGGCCTGAGGTCCTTAGCTCAGGAGAGGTGAACAGCAGGGGGCTGGTCACAGCTGGCCATCAGCTGCTCCCCCACAGCCTGAACAAGCCTGAGCTCCATCTGCTTCCTCCTCTCCTGGGCCTCAGAGGAAGGGGGCCCAGAGCCACTGTCCAAAGGCTCTGGGACCTGGAGCTCTTCTCTTAAGTATAGACTCCAGCTCCCCTCACACCTCTTTCTCCCATACTCTGTCACATCTTGAAGTTCCCAGAGACATACAGGACTACGGATAAGCAGCCACATTCATAGTCAGAAAAGATCTTGTCCAGTCTCGTACCTCTCAAGTGGGCATGGGAGCATGGGGACCACTGTCCCTACTCCCTGAACTCTGAAGTGGATCAAATAGTGTTATGTTCCTTTGGGGCTCCAACCATGGAACTGGCCATGGGGTATAGCCTAGGGGAAGGCTATACACTTCCCAGTGACCCTCTGACTCCAGGAGGAGCCAGGTGAGATAAGGGACTAAGCAGCTGGCCTCCCATGGTGCCTGTGCTGGGTCCATGGGTCTAATTCTGGGCCTAAGAGCTGTTGGTGTGATGGGCAGCCAGCCTCTGTGACATGTCACCAGCAAAGGCATCCCCTTCCTCCTCCCCTTCCTCTTTACTTCCAGCAGCCATGCATTTCCGGGCAGGGAAGAGCATCACCATTCCACCCTACTGTATCCTCTCTGGTGAGCCAGCAACCACACACGTGATCTCTGCAAGATGGGGTAAGGGGGATGACACAGGTAGTGGGCCCTTTCTGCCTTTGGGAAACTTAAAATGGTCACATTTCCATACACAGTGCAGCAGGAGTCTCCCCACAAACCAGCCCAAGCTCTCTACCCCAGAGGTTCCAGGCTGGTTCTCTCTCACCTATAGTGATTATTTCTGGCACTGATTGTTAACTTTTACAAAATTACAAAAGCAAAAGACCCACCCCCCAAACTACCTCTTAGGGTCTGCACTGTGGGACCAGTAGAATGCAGCAGCCCACTTTAATGGGAAAAGCTCTTTCCTGGACACAGTCCCCACCCAGCACTCTTCCTCATTAGTCCTGTAGGCATTTGAGTTCCTAGTTCTGTTGCTCTTATCCACGCCCTCAACCCTCTGCAGCCACGTGGCAGCTGCTTGGGCTGACTCTGCCTCTCAGGAAAGCCCTTTCATGGTCACCTTACCCTGTGATCCTCTGTCACTTAAAGCCTCCAGCAACCTGACAAGTACTGTCTGTGCTGCAGGGAACTCTGTCCTCACACAGCCTTCTCCTGAACTGCCTCCCACACTCCTCACTTACACTTCCAACTTGTGGGCTGCCTACCCCTGCCCAGTCCTGACAGCCCCTCTCCATACCTCACTTTCCTATCAGGGATCTCTTGCCCTGAGGCCAGGAGATAGACAACTCCTGCTGCCTAGGCTCCTCCCTGCCAGTGTCCCATGAAACTGCTCAAGCTGGCTGGCTGCCACCCCAAGCCTAAATGGGCAGCTAAGGCAGGGAAGGTGGGCCTGGGGTATAGGCATCCTGGTCTGGTCTTATTTCCCCAGCAAGGGCTGAGATTATTAGAATGGGAGAGAAGAACCCACTCTCATAACTAGAGGGCCCGACTCAACTTCCCCATGCCCAGCCAGTTTCTCAAGGTCATGGTGTCACATGTGCAGTTCTGGGCTCTCGACAAAGCCCAGCCCTTTTGCAAGGAGTCCCTGGGCTGCAGGAATAGTCAAGACTAGTTCCTGGGGGCCAGGAACTCTTCCCTGCATGGTCTCTTCTGGTTCACCTAGAGCCTAATCCTGGGCTGGCCATGGTGACATCTCCCTCCCTCCCTTCCTCCCTCTCTCTCTTCTCTCTTCTCTCTCTCTCTCTCTCTCTCTCTCTCTCTCTCTCTCTCTCTCTCTATTTGTGTTGGGGGGGAGCACAGTGCTTAAGAGTCACTTAAGAGTCACACTGACCTGAGGGCTCTCCTGGGCCATAGGCTTCCACCTTAGGCAGATGGGTTCTCTGCCAAGTTCCTGATTTGAGGAATAAATGGACCTTTTTCAGGGGACCCCTACCCTGCTTCCCTTTCTCTGGGACATGATTCTCCATCCCTACCCCACCCCACCCTCACCCCACAGGCTGGCGAGGCTCACCAACCCCAATCACTGATGAAAGAAGGAGCCCATGGAACCAGCAAGCCCTTCTCCCCAAGACACACAGTACTTTGATAGAGCACTCTTTGACAGCAACCAGCAAGCATACCCATGTCTTTCCCTCCACATACCTTAAACTTCAATTGTAGGGCTAAAACTCCAAATAAAATACTGCTTCTTGGCCCAAAGTTAGGGGCTTGACTCCATGAGAGGGAAAGTCACCTGGGGCTGACTTGCAAGGCATCCTTCCTGCCTGTCACCCCCAGCCCAGCCCATCACCAGCCCCTGCCTGAACAAAGTAGGTGGGTCAGGGCCTCCAGAAGCAGAGGAGGCCTGGGGGTGCTGGCATCTGCCTCACACCCGGATCTGGTACCCATTGAGGTCTGGCATGGCTTTGGGCTCTGCAGACTTCTTCTCCCCTGAAGGCCTGTAGGAAGAAAAACAGAGGGTGCAGAAGAGGAGTGAGTGGAGGGAGGGAGGGAAGGAGGGAAGGAGGGAGGTAGGCCTGTCCTGCTGGCTCCCCCTGTAAGGATCTTTACAACAGCAGCAGAGGGTGTGGGGACCCTGGGGTGTCCTAGAGGATCCCCTCCTGCCACACAGCCTCTTGCTCTTTGATGACATTTCCTAGACTGTTAGTTTGTGGGTAAAAAGCTTCAAATACAGCCCAGAACTGGTTCCCTACAAAAGCCTCCTAGATCAAAGTCAGGGTGATGGGTATTTCAGCACGAGTTCTGCTCAGCACCCCTCACTTCATAGAGGACAGGTGACTTTAGAAGGACAATTATACTTACAGTAAGAGCCAGAATGGTATGTGGGAGAGTGGATCAGAGTGAGAGGCCTGGTATTTAAATAGCAAATCTTGCCATTTGGACACAGACAAAAACCCAGACCATAGGGGCAAAAGTTGTGTTCTAAGCCTTCTCTCCAGGCTGTGCAGCCTTGGGTCATAGACGAGCCCCTTCAGCAAACTGCAGGAGAGCTCAGGGCCTTGTGTGAGCCCCATCGGGTTCACCCTCTCTCATTAGTCCATTCTTCTGCCTTTGTCAGACATAGGGTAATTGAAAACAGCTGAGGGGTGTTTTCTTTGGGGAAATGGCACCACATTGCTGTAGGCAAGGTCAACACACAGACACACGGACCCATCATCCCAAGTGACTTCTCAAAGAGGGATGGATGGGAAGGAGAAAAGAGGAGTGAAGAGGGACCGGGAGGAGGAGGAGAGAAAAGGGAACGAGGCTTTTTTGGGTCTCTTTTCTCACCGTCTCTCACTGCGGCTGTTCCTGCGGTGGGGGCTGGACTGGGCCCTCTGTGGGGAGGAAACATCCTTCTTCCGGTCCTTGGTGGGAGAGGGAGGGCCTGTCCCCTTGCCAATCTGGATGGTGAGGAAGAAACAAAAGCATGTTCTGGGCTCCCCCATGGCCCACACTGCTCTCCTGGGAGCCACCTTCCCTGGAAGCTGCCCTAGGCACTGTTGCACTTCAAGCCTGGGGTGGCCTTTGCCTTGTCTCTGGGTCATCCCTGGCACTTAAACCACCAGAGCAGGAGATCCTTGGAAGGGTTGTCTACTCCCTGAGGGTTCCGAACATAGTATAGGAGCTGTCACTGGGCCATCATAGGGCTGGGAAACACCTTTGAAGAAAGGCCATTTTATGCAGGAAAGACAAAAGTGTGCCAGATGCAGCAAATGCTCTGGGACAGGTCCTTCTTGCCCGATAGTGACATCAACTCTCTCAGGCCGGAAAGACATCAGACTGGTAACTGCATCTCTGGTTCAGAAAAAAAAAAAAAAAAACACAAAAATAAAACCAAAAAAACGGAACCACCCTTTATGTAGTGTGGTCAGCCTCCTTTGAGTTTTCTTGGAGCTGAAAAAGAAGCAACACAGGGAGTCTAACTCTCTCTGATCAGGCTGAGTCAAAAGGTGTCTATATAGGCTCCATTTCTATCTACATCTTGTTGCTACCTGGAAATACCGCTCAGTGCGGGGCTGCCAAGCTGGGAGAAGGGAGTAGCCCCAGCACAGAAAATCCTCTCTGTAACGCAGGCCTGTGGCAGCATCTACCTTAGAGAAAGGCAATGTTAACTGCAGACATCTGAAGCTGCAGGTCACAGTGCAGTAGGGCTGCATGATAGAGAGGGGCTGACCACTCCAGAGAGAGCCCCAGCAGGCCCCAGGAAAGGTATCTCTGGTCCAGGGAGATTGAGAGCCCCCCTCCCCAATCTTATCCGCTAGAAGGCTGTGGGAGCCAACTCCTCAGGATCTTAGTCTACTGTTCTTGGCCCAAGAGATTCCTCCAATCTGCAGCACCTGCTGAGTGGTGGGGAAAGGGGAGGAGCAGCCAAGCTCCCCGTCTTCCTCCTAGGTGCCCTTCCCCTTTCTGCTGATCTCCTGGTCCTTTACCAGGCAGGGAGCTCAGGGACTCAGGAGTCAGGATGGACCGGGAAGGTGGAGGTGGCTCACTACCCTACCCTGTCACATTCTTATAGGCTAGGCACTAAAGCACCCATGTCCTTCACATGCCAAAGACCTATGACTGTGCAACCCCAGCCCACTGCCTTCCTCCTTCTAGAGTAGAGTTCTTGGTCTGCACACCAAGGGTTCAACTTCAACAACAGGACTTCTTCGAGTAATGCCTGAGTCATTCTCAGGCAATCCCTACTGGTCAGGGCAAGCCCGTGAAAGCATGGCGGGGAGCCTATGAGGAAGCAGAAGGTGACACTGGCCCTGGGGACCACTGCTGGTTCTAACCTTGAGACGCATGTCTCGGGCATGACGTTCCAGCTCCTTGCGGAAGTCTTCCCGGCCCAGCCTCTCGACGTCCAGCACGGAGTGCTTCCATTCGATCTGCTCCACACTGTGGGGGTCATGGGACACACACTGGCCCAGCTTCACCTTCTTCAGCACATGCCAGCAGCGGCCGTAGGCCGCCTCGTAGTCCAGCACGAGCTCGCTGAGTGTGCGGAAGGCTGGAGGTTTATACATCAGGTCCTCCCTCCGGCTCATGCCCAGGGCTCCGTAGCGGCCCCCAAAGTTCACCCCCAGCACAATGTGGCGGAAGTAGTTCCCTGAGAAATAGGTCTTGAAGCTGATGGGGAAGCGTTCCAGGGTGGGCATGCTGTTGGTGAGGTAACTGGTGAATCAGTGAGTTAAGGAAAGTGCTAGGGAAAGGCCCTGCTGTTTGGCTTCCAAGACCCTATCTGTGTTCTCTATAATCAGCACGATCTAGATGTGCCAACAGCGGGCCTCCCTGCTGCTTCTCCCAGACTTAGAAATGGCACGACAACCAGGATACAACACTGTACCCAGATTTGGAGTTTTAACAGGGTCACCTTGTCCATGGGACCCAAGAAATGAGCTATACAGCAGGCCTGGCAAGGTAGCAAGAGGAGGCACTGAGACGATGACCTCCCCAAGAATCTTCCCTTTTGCAGAGTTTCCTCCTCCTCCTCGGGAGGCTGCTCCACGCTGGGGACCAAGATATGCTAACACCAGAGAGCCCAGGAGGCCTTGGGACACTCCCATTCCACAGCAGGCAGCCAAGGCTTAGCCACTCCAAGCAAGACTCTCCCAGGCTAGAGGAAGGATACATTCCCAGGATCACAGCTTCCAGGCATTTGATTGGCAGAGCCTCTTTGGTCATTTCCTTGGCCAGGTCCATCAGCCTATGAGAAAGGGAGGCGGAGCTGGTCTCCTGCCCACTGGGCAGAGACTTCCCTGCCCCCAGCTGTCCTCCCGGGCCTGGTGTTTCCTTTCCCCTCCCACGTCTAGAGTGTGAGGGGATGAGGAGGCAGGCCCTGGAGCTCAGGAAGTAAGCCCACTCTCTCTGCCATTTCCCTCCATTCACTTTTTCCTCTCTGGCCTGGCCCCTGCTCAAAGACTTCTAGGAGAAGGCGCCATGAATGGAGGCAGGACCAGAGGCGCCCGGTGCCTTCTCCCGGGGGCAGTGGGGCTGGGGGAGGGGAGAAGTTCAACATTGATGCTGTCCCTTCCTGAGCACACTAAACACTCCTCATCTAACCACGGCTGTCCAAAGAACTTGCTATCAGGAAGACATCTGACCCTGCACTTAACTTTCTTTCTTTCTTTTCTTTCTGTCTTTCTTTTCTTTTCTTTCTTTCTTTCTTTCTTTCTTTCTTCCTTCCTTCCTTTCTTTCTCCCCCCCCCCACCCCCAGACAGGGTTTCTCTGTGTAGCCCTGACTGTCCTGGAACTCACTCGGCAAACCAGGCTGGCCTCTTAACTAAGAGATCTGCCAGACTCTGCCTCCTCAGTTCTGGGACTAAAGGGATGAGCCACCACCACCTGGCAAAAAACTAGGCCATTTAAAAACATTCTGTCCTCCAGGTCTGGGGACTCAGCTTGGTCACTGGCATTGCCTGGGATTCTTGTATGCTATGGCAGGATGGAATGGAACACCAGCACACAGCAGCAATTGAAGGACAAGAGCAAAGCCTGGGATCAGAGAAGATGGGTTCAACCCAAGGGTTTCTAGATGGGGCAACTAATTAAATGAATAAGCAACTCAGGGCATCACCCCCCCCCCCAATTAAGTAAATAAGCAACGTGAAACAAACTGTCTAGAACAAGAGATTCGGTCTGCATGCTGAGTCATGACGGGCTAGGGAGTGAGAGAAACAATTTTTTGTTTTTTCTTGTGGGATCTGATGCTTAGACACTGGACTTTCTACTTCATGACCAGAAGAATTCAGGACAAACTGGGTAAGTACATAGGTACCATGAAGTGCAGAGTTCATGGGAGGCTTCAAGGAGAGAAAAGGGAAAAGACCCTTCGCTGCTTACTCCCCATCCTGCCTCTACTCCCTGTCCATAGCATCTATCCCCAACCAGGCAAGCTGGGGAGGAGGGGCTGCTCTACCAGCTCGTTTGAGCCTCCCTTTCATCAACCTTGGGTGGCTATATCATCGGGATTTCCTTTCCCAGGGTGGCACCCTTCCCCCATCCTATGGTCAGCTTTTCTTAGGAAAGTCCTGGCTAACTTCTTAAGCTGTCACTCAAAGGCAAACCAACAAGGTTCCCTAGTGGGATCAAACCCAGTGGGAGGTGCGGGAAACCCCAATGAGAGCCCCAGCAGAGAGGCCCTGTACTTACCCTGTCAGAGGTCTGCTCTTCTTAATTTCAAAGAACTGTGTCCCTGTGTGATTGTACCTGGGACAGTGGTTAAGGGCTTCCTGGCTTGGTTTGGAAGGCTGTGTTGTTACCTTGGCTGCCACCCCAGACCTTAGGGTGGCTACAGAAGGACCCCTTAGAACATCTGCCACAAAGCCGCAGGAGGGATGCTTAGGATTTGTTCTCTGGGAAGAGGGAGTAGGGTACAGCGTGGGGGTTCTCCTCGCTCTCATAGCTCCTCTCCCCACTCTCTAGCCGTCTCCCTTGTCCTCCTGTCTCAGGATAGGAGATTGAGTGGGCAGCCAGCCCAGTAGGGCTGAGAAAGCAGCCTTAGCTGGGGACAGTTCCTGGAAGTGCTGGGTTTTCCAAACAGTCCAGAAGGCTGAAGGGGCTACCACCTCCCCTGTGCCAGCTAGTTAAACATCAACATGACACAAGCTAGAGCCATTGGGTAGGGGGAACCTTAACTGAGAAAATGCCCCCTCCAGGCTGGCCTGTGGGTATTCCTGTGGTGAATTGTTTAAATTAGTGATTGGTGTGGGGAGGGGGCCCAGCCCATTGTGTGTAGTGGAACCCCCTGGGCTGGTGGTTCTGTGTGCTATAAGTCAGATGTATGAGCCACAGGAACGAGCAAGTAAGGAACACAGGACCCAGGACACATGGCTCTCAGGCAGAAGCTCCAGGGGCCCAGAGCAGAGGCAAAAGGCAGGTAGCCTGCTGCCAGGGAAGAAGAATGCCAAGAATTAGAAGAAAACTTGAAGATGCGGATGTTATACCTTGGAGCAAAAGATCCTTTTCCCTCCCCCGTCCTCCCAAACCCAGCACTGCAATAGCCCCCAAAGAGCCGCTTCTGTCCCTTGGCTGGGGCAGGATGAATGGCAGCTGACACCTCCTTTTCTCATTAAGATACTTAGGAGCTCCCCGTCTCCCCCCTCCATACACACCATGGGGAAGCATGTGCTGGAGAAGCTGGATTGGGTCCAGCACTCAGATACAACCTTGGCAGCTCCAGGGAACAGAGATGCCAGTGAATGGCCACTCTGGAGTTGGGAGTGAGCTGGCCCTACAGGCCACACTTGGTCTTTGGGGCTGTCACTAAGTGGTGGCCACAGCTCTGGACCCAAGAGGATACTGCAGCTCCCTGATGTAGCGCTGCACGGCTTCCAGGCGCTCAGGGACGGGCGTCGTCGGCTGGAAAGTAGGCACACTTGGTATGGGAATCTAGGGACAGAAGGAGAAAAAAGCTCAGTCACATGGATAGGCACACCCTGGAGCTTCCAGCCCCTCAGAGCAGCACCCGGGGGAGGCTCCTACTCTGAGCCCATTTCCCTGGGAACCCTTCTTTCCTAAGCCTCCTCCAAGGCCCTCAGCTCAACCATCCTTGACACCTGACTGTACTTTTAATGTGGAGCTTATAGTGACCTTGCAATTTTATGCTGTTAAATCATTTTAGAAAACACAGGAGGATCCACTGACTATATTAAATTTAAAATATGCATTATTAATGTTTTACAAGAATGTTCGTATTGGGGTTAATTTGTTTGGGTTTGGGGGTTCACTCTGGTCTATGGCTTGGATATGACAAAGGTGTTTGTCCTTGGGTGGGTTCTAGACAAAGTATTAGGCCACTGGAGGTACACCCTTGGAAAGGCAGAAGGCAGTTCTCAGGGTTGTCGTCAACCAGCTCCCCCTTCCTGTGGCTGGCTTCTTGCTTCCAGTGTGATCTGCTTCCCCAAGCTCTTGTCATGATGCTATCCAATGTCCTTAGACCTTATCACAGTCTGAACCAACACAGGCCCCTCCAGCCCATAAGGCTGCAAGCTAAATAAACCTCATTTCTTCAATAGTGTCCTGCCTCAGGTATTTCATTATAGCAATGAAAAAACCGACTAATATACTCTGGCTTGAGCCCTAGGCGAAAACTGGTTTTCTTAGTGTTTCATTCTATCAGGTGGTACCTTCAGCCCCCGGGGAACTATCCTAGACAGGTGGATATAACCTCAGCAAGGGATGTCACCCATCTCCATGGCAGGACAGGTGTGCCAGGACTTCCAAAGCACCAACCCAAACTGTCAAGGAGTGTGGCAGTGGGAGAGAGAACACAGTGTCGGGCAGGCAGGTCTTGTTTCAAAAACAGCCTTTCCCCACCCATCTCACATCTCACCAGCATGTTCCTATCTTTCCCCAGTAGGCTGCCATTGGACCCTCCAAGGCCACACAGAGCTTGCCCATGGCCACCCAGCTGCAAATGTAAGGGTGGGGGTGAAGGGAAGGAGTATCAGGGGTCCTAAGTACATTCAAGGTGGGGCTGTGTGGCGGTGAATGGACATATCCTTGGTAGGCTGTCCAGTGGTCCTGAGACTGGGGCCACAGAGGATTTCAAAACACTATAGTTGCCGTGGCTAGGCTCTGTCAGGAAGGGAAGTGACACACTAGTTATCACCACACACTGGGGGTGCTTCTGATGGTGGGAGACCAGGACTGTGTCTCCAGCAGATACTGTGGAGATGCAGGAAGGAAGGGCTGGCTCAGAGACAGTCTAGCACGTCTTTCTTCCTTCTTCTCTCTCAGTGTCCTTTGCTTCCTGTCTGGGCAGTCTCTAGCAGCAGATACCACAGCCTGGAGAAGTTACTTCCCCTTTCCTGTCACTTCATCTTCAAACTGGCATCATTACTTACAGCTGCCTGCAGGAGACAAGCTCAGGATGGGCCCTGCCTTCATTTGCCTGACCCCTCTGCACCAAACGCACACAAGAAGTGTCCGAGGGGCTGGCTGGCCAGCCATCCTGGTAGAGGGTATGGGGGTAGGGAGCTAGGACAGAAATAGCTTACTTAGTAAACCTCTTTAAGTAGTACTGTAGATTCACCCAAGTCACCTGACCTTGGGTGGTATTCAGTGTAGCAAAATCACCCCTACTTGGTAAGTCGGTTCCAAGAACTGCAGCTGTATGACTGAACACACCTGCTCATGAGCCACTCTGGACAGGGAGGGAGTCACAGAAGAACAACTTGCCAAAGCTCAGGCAGAGAGATTTGGGAATAGGCTCAAGTCAGAACGAGGTGGTACCCACAAAAGCATCATGGGCACCTGCCTCACAAAAGGCCTGTTGAGAAGGCTACTGTAAAAGAAGAGTCAAAAATGGCCTAAGATCCTAAGCATGGCTTTACAGACCATCTCACCATACAGGAACCAGACAGTCCAGGGTTGTAGGAAAATCCTACTAGTAGAGTCCCTCAGCCCAGCACAAGGAGAAGGCTTAGGGGAGGTGGGAGAACCTGTGGCTGAACTTGGAGGTGAGTCAGAAAAACTCAGCAATGACCAGAACAGAACCAGCCGTGCTATGGAGTCCAGCCCTGTGACTTCAGTGACGTTCCTGAACAATAGTGCCTCAGAATGCACCTTTTCTCGTGAAAGAGCAGTAACAAAACCTGCCTGGGGACATCACAGAGCTGTTGCAAGCAGACACCTCAGAACGCTGCCCAACACCTGGCTACTGCCTTGGGCTCTCTGGCCCTCTAAAGATGTCTGGATTTCCATCTGCAGGTGTTCAGTGGTCAAAGCCACAGCTAGGTCTTTAGCAGTCGGGTTTGGGTAAGTGCTTGCAGGCCTTTTAAAAGGTATGGCAGCTGGAAACAATTAGGAGAGAGTCTGACAAAGGGGCATAGCCTGCTGCTGGCTTCTGGATTCTTCTAGAAACTGTTATGTTTGGCATCGCTCTTGGAGATACCGCAAGTGCTTGTGGCTTGCTGCATGCCTACTCTGTGCATCACTGGGGACCTATCAGATGCTCACCTAATGAGGTGCTACACGCTTTCCATCATCAGTTCAACATCCCCATGAAGTGGGCGTTGCCGATGATCCACACTGACAGCTGGGGATGCTGAGGGACACCTTCCTCTCACAAGTAGTTCATGAGCTAGCAAGGATGAGAAAACATGATGGCTTCCCCTGAAGAGCACTGCCTTTACCACACTGCCCTGCTGCTGTGGATCCCGTTTTCCTGCTGAGGCTTAGCCTGTAAAACCCAGGGAAGGCATGTGGGGGCATGGGAAGCTGTAGTAAAATGAGGGAGGGGGAAACACACCCCAGCCCCTCCTGCCAGCTGCCACAGACTTGCTGTTCCCATATCTCTTCCTTTCCTGTAAAGATGCCAAAAATTATGGATCATGATGTGAGAAATCTCCCAATGTTTGGCTCAAGTGGTCTGGTAAGACATAGTGTATCCTAAGAAACCGTTCCTGGGCCCATCGCGGACTCTGCAGCAGGCCACTAGGGAGCGGACAGGCCAGACTCAGGCCTTTCTGCAGCTCACAGTATGACACCCAATATTCTCCATGGCCTCTAGGGCTCCTCCACATCTCCCCTGCACCCTAAGGGTTCCCTGGGCCAAGTTTACAGTTGAGCTTCATCCTTCCTTAATGCACTTAATCATACACCCACACTTTCCCAAAGGCTTAAAGATGAGAAGTTTCAAAATTCTCTCCGTCTTTCTATACTCCTGTCTCCATACTTTTCGTCTCTAACAAATAGCTCCATCCTTTCAAACATGTCCTTCCTTCCTGAACACGAGGCCTGAAGATGACATTACTGACCAATCACTATTGAGGACACTGACGATTTGAGTCCTCCAAAGCAGTGACCATTCTGCTGCTCTCTGGTCCAATTCAGCCAGAACCATGAGGGCCAGATACTGTGGGGCATGCGTGTAGCCCTGGCCTCATCAGCCAGATACTTTGGATGGCATCTCGTCTCTGCCCTCACAATAGCCCCAATTTCTCATTTCACCCTCTCTACTACCAACTCATTTTACATATAAGAAAACTGACTCAAGCAGGCCGGAGGGGATTCCTTGAGCTCACACGGGCAGGCAGGTGATCCAAAACAACACCTAAATCCCTCGACGTCATACTTTCTGTTCTGGAATTTATCCCAAGGTCAAAAACCAAAGCCAGATCCCCAAATTTGTGTTGTAGGATGTTTGGCACAGTGTTTATTTTAGAGATAAGACAGTGGAAACAATGTCCAGTTCAGATTAGCTAAATAAACGAGAGGACTATGCTGTAGCTATTCAAAGTCAATCTAGCTTTTCCCCCTGGGAAACTCTAGGCAGTAATAGCTCAACCTTCAACCTCAGATTATCTTTCCCCAAACCATTTTCTGATAGCTATGCCAATAACCCAGCAAAAGGAAAACAGGCCTGGTCTCCATGTATCAGTAACTCCATTCTCCTTCAGGACTAAGCCTCGAGTCTGACTTTTGACCAATGGCCTCGGTACATGGAGCAGTGCTTCCTTAGATGGAACATAAACACTAAACACACACACAGTATAGCACCGCACACCACAGCACAGTACAACCCAAATGTCCTTTCGTTTAGCAAACACATAAGGGCCCGCCCTGTGCCAGGCACACAGGAGCCCTCAAGAAGACAAAGATGAATGAGACAGAGCCTCTCCTTCCTCAGCAACACCATGGAGGCACTGTTGTGGTAGAGTAGTACCAGTCAATGCAGGAGAACGCTCAGCTCTTCTCTTCCACACAGGGCCATTGCCAATGCCCCTGAATCTGATATCCAACAGAGCTGAGCATTTGGAGCCCCAAGACTGGTGCAGAATCCCAGCGCTGCCACTTGCCACGTACCTTTTGAGTTTCTCATCTTGAAAGGGAACCCAAACTGAACTTCCTTTGGAGTGATGCTGGTCAAACTCAGCAGATAATATACGAAAATATTTTCTCACCACACAAAGTCCTGCACTCCCCCAGTCATTCATCACTAGTCTCTGGCTTGTCAAGTGTCCTGAGCCAAACAGATGCCAAGCCACGTTCTCCAGTTCATCTGCGGTCCTACTCAGAAAGCCATGGGAGAGGGACTCCTAGAGATGGGGCACTGGAGCTTCCTCATCAAATGATTCCAAAGGAACTGGAAAGAAAGTTCTGGACCCCCCCCCCCGCATTAAATCTTACCTTACCAACGGTCCCCTACTGCATCCATCAGAAGCAAGATGTGTGTGGGTTATTTTCTTAGCTCCAAGGTTAATAAAACCCATCCTCATTGTGCCTGTCCCCTTCATGTCTTACCTTGGGCAGGTCCGTGGCCCCACGGATCCGCAGGGCCAACTTCTCTCCATCCGGGTGAATCTTGGCCACATGCTTCCACATCCTTTCCCAGGTGGCCTCGTCCACTGGCAGTCCACCTCGGTTGATGAAGAAAGGGACACCTCCATCTCGTAGGTCCTCTTCTCCTTCCTCCTCTGGTTCCTCGTCTCTCTGTGCTGAGGCCCCTTCGCTGGTCTCCAAATGTTTAATGCCAGAGTGGGCGGCGGCAGCCGCTGCAGCAGCGGTGGCGGCGGCAGCTGAGTTCGGGGAGGCACCGCTGCTGCCACTCGGGACCACCTTCTTTCCCCCTGGCATCCCTAAATCCTCGATGAGGGTGGGAGGATATATCAGGAGGCGGGGAAAAAGAAGTGCCTCACAGGAGGTTTCCCACACGCCCGCAATAGAGATAACACATGGCCAAACAGTGCGGGGCGCCTTTAAGAAATCAGGGCGTGGCTCCTGTACAATAAAATACTATTTGGTAAGAAAGAATCAGCGCATCAACCTGGAGGGATGGCCAGGTGGGTTGCCCAGGGTCCGCCTTAGAAGCCCAGTTTCGTTTGAAAAACGGGATGAAGAGAACGCACCCCAACTTGACAGCCTGTATAAAGCACCCCCATTTGGCAGCGAGAACAATGACCCGCAGCGATCTAGGATGGCTGAGAGGAGAAAAAGTGAGGGCCCCGGGGGGTTGGGGAGACTGAGGCCAAACAGCTCCTGCGGCAACGCTGAAAAGGAGGCCCAAGGCCCACTCCCAGTTTTGGAGAGAACAAATTCCTCTACGGAATACTTGCACACTCACACTGGCGCGCGTGAAGGGGGCCGCATGAGCTCATAGTCTGGACCCGGGGGGTCGATCCGGGATGTAAGAGGATAGGACAGCGCTGGGGGCGACTTCTCTGTCGCGACCCTTCTTGGAGCCAAGACTCGCAGCTGGCGCGGCGGGGCGGGGCGGGGGGGGGGGGGGCGCCGCCGCGCCCACACCCCCCCCCGCCCCCCCCCACAAGGG